TCCTGGTGAGGGAGGGGGTGGCTGGCAGGGGCAGTACCAGACTTCAGAGCCCAATCCTGGTGTTTGGGGTAGGGGAGGCAGGAGGTGGCAGGGAGCAGCACTGGGCCTTTGGGACCCAACCCTGGTGCATGGGGAGGGGAGCAGAAAAGGGTGGTTTTGGTTCCCAGCCCTGATCTGGTTTGCAGACAGACCCTACGCCACTCATCTAGCCTGTAGAGCGAAAAGGTTGAGCACCATTGGTTTAGCACAAGTGAAACAGCAGCTATTTGTATTCGTTTTCTACTTCTGAATTAATGCATTGGAGATATCAACTTCCTGATTCCCTGGGAAATGAATTTGAGACTTCTAACTAGGGACCTACTTAATTTGTGGTTTCCCAGACTTCAGGAAACCGTGAAAACCAGGATAGTCTGTAAAATCAACGACAACAAAATCCTTAATGCTGGCTCCCCATTGGGGCAGGGCGGCATGAAGGGCAGCCAGCAATTGAGATAAGTAAAAGGGGGACGGGAGAGTCAGATCAGCTGTCTAAAAGGCTAATAGGCTGAGGTCAGTGGCCACTATTAGTTTTTACTGTCATAATTTTTACCTGGAATATTTAGGAGACTTCTGCATTGAAAATGTAGGTGTTGCACAAATACCTGGAAAAAGAAGTACAATCTCTAAAAGAGCCCTTGTGGAGCGGTGGATGAAAAGGTGGCAGAGATGTTACTTTATAAGCACTGGTCACAGTCCCTGACTTGAGGAACTACATAGTGTCATAACCCAAAGGTATGATTTTGTGTGCGCTTCGGCACTAGAAGTTTTCCCGCTAAATTGCAGCTTCGTTGCACGGTGGAGTTTTCTGCTGCAGAGGAGAACCCCGGTGCAAGGGAGAATTTCCTGCCAATTTGTAGCTTTATTTGCAGGGTGCATTGCTCAAGTTGCAAGAGAAATGCACGGTGCAAAGGAGTTCCTGCCACCCGCATGCAAATTTGTTCTCCGCTATTGGCTAGTTCTAAATTATTCCCACGTGGCGGCTAACGATTGGCCTGCTAGTCGTATAAGACGCTTGAGCGGTTTCTGCCCAAGCCGAAGAGGACTCCACATCCATCTCGTGGGGACTCTGGGTACACGGCAGGGTAATAGAGACCCTGTGTGAGATTCGGAGGAGTTTGGCGACCTGATCCACTGCCCACCTCTTTCCGTCTTCAAGCGATAATTTTTTTTTTAAGACTTATCTATGAGGTTTCTATTTCGGTGGCGCGCTTGTCCAGGGCATCCGGAGCTCTGTTTCCATGGAGCCTAGCAAACTCCACGTGATTGTTCGTGTCGTTTTGTTTGTAACTGCAACTCAAGCAAGTTTTCCAGCCTGCACCGCAACCATCTCCGGTGTAAGTAAACAATCTTTAAATCTACCATTACGAGTCCGTGCCTAATTCTAGCGTGTCGCCCGTTCTCTCTGACCCCGTGTGCCCGGGCTGCTGGCCACAGCCCACGCAGAGCACAAAAAAGGGCCCGGCTCACACCCGGCCCGCACACATAGCATAGCTCAGTGAAATGATGGGACTGTAACTCGTCATATCAGTGTTTACTGTAAATACTGCAAAGCGCTCAAAATGCAGAGAAATTAAATGACTTGCAGTGGGCTCATGGCACTTATTTGCTAAGCATTTTCCTGGATCCTAGTAGGTGCCTCTATACACGCACTTTAGTTCATAGACACCTATTTTACTGAGCATTTAAAATGTTGCATAAAGTGCAATTATGCTAATGCGCAGTAAAATAGGCTACTGTGTGTTAGGTATCACTTAAAAACTGTGCATATTCGTTACTGCGCCTTAAGGCAGCTTAATGCGCATTTCTTTAGTACCTCACATTGGAGGTACTAAATTTAATGCACATTAGAAAAAGTGCCTTAATGCATGTGTAGACATGCCCAGCGAGTAGTAACACTGTGTTCTGGTCTGTTTTCCTTCTGTTTGCAAGCTAGGTTGTTGAGATGTACACATTTCTGAGCGTGTGTGATAACAAAGATTTTGCTTAGACCAACCAACCAGCCTGTCTCATGCCTTTTTAAGGAATTACCATGAGAGAGATCTGAATTCCAAATTCAGAGACTCAAGTGAATTAAAGTCAGAGCAAAAGCAGTAATTGACAGTAACTGGTTGAGCCTCTCAAAATCAGCTCTTACAAACTCAGGTTGCCTGTACACGAGCCTGGAGGCTGCTGCAGTGCGCTGTAATTACAGTGCATTGGAGCAGATTGGATTAATTCAGTCTGCTGGAGTGGTAATTACTGTGTTCAAGCCAGCCTCCATGCTTTCTGTATCAGTGTCCCTGTGCTTAAAAGTGCTCCTGCCACCATTTTCATCTAAACCTCATTTGAGTTCTAGATAAAGTGCCCCCACTGCCATTTTGAAGCACGGGAATGCGATGCATGAGAGGATCTGGGCACTTTAATTAAAGCACCCCCGGCCCCTCTCTAGGGGCGTGTGTGTGTGTGTGTGTGTGTGTAAAAAAAAAAAAAAAAAAAAAAAAAAAAAAAAAAAAACCTTCAGCTTGACATCCCATTAAAAGGTGTGTTGGGTTGTGCATTCCTCTGTTAAAAACTTAAGCCTTGAGGATATCTTGTTTATTTTAAATGTATACCTGGGTATGCAAAAAGAAAATACAAGGTATTCAGACAATATTTCTAAAAATAGTTCAGTAATTATTGTCTTAACTGCAACCTTGAGGGTTCTCTCAAGAAACCTGTTGATATAAGAATGCAAATTTCCGTTTTTTTTGTTTTTTTTGGGGGGGGGTGGGGTTTGGTGAGGGGGGGCGGTTGTTTACTCAGGGTAAAAAACAGGTTGGGTTTCAGGTCCCCATTCGGATTTGTCCCTGCTTCTCATCTGCATCAAAACAGGTGGGGGACAGTTCTTATACATGCAGCTTGAATAGCAATTACTACTAACACCCCCCTCCGTCCTGCCCGGTACAATCAGGGGACTACTTAGTTAATTGACATTCAAACTGCATGTGCAAAGGGCTATGCTGCTCCAAGGTTTTGACTCTGATCAGTCAGAAATGACACTCTCTTTTCCCATGACAGTCATGGTTAATTTTGAGTTAATTGCCATTTATTCCAGGGACGAGCTACATGTGAAATGGGCTTCTCCACTTCTAGGTTTTGATTCATATCAGTCAGAACCACTTCAAATGCAATGTCTTTTTTCACCCAAGGAAGGTGCCATCCTTCCTTACTTAAAGTACTTCCATTGGCATCAAAAGGAGCTGATGCTGCCCTCAGATCCTTGCAGTATTGCATTCACTGCTGTGCTGAATTGGCTTCATTGGGTCCCACACTGGGAAGTTGAATTTAAGAAATGTGCTGACTTAATGTCTTTTTCTTAATTTAATTTTTTAATATACTACAATTGCAAGAATTGTAAGTGGTTTCTTGTCAATTTCTCAATTTTGTGTTAGAACTGAATAGCCTTTTAAGGGCTCCATACTGTATCTTGTTTCAAGTAAAGGATTTCATGGTTATAGTTTTCATTGCATTAAATTTTGATTACAACTCTGGTATTACAGTTCATCTTCTTTATCCTGAAAAATATTTTGCGAGAATTCTATTTTCCCACTCAAACCATTGAATCATCTCATTGTGTTTATAGATGGCTTTACTTAATCTCACAGTGCAGTATGGTGAATTGGAAATTAACTTTATTAAAAACCACGGTTTACTGAACTGAATGGCTCAAGGGATGGTTAATGGGTTATAAAAATCTTTTTTACCACTTGGGTTCTTGGCTCGGATCCATCTCTGAATGGTAGATGCTGAAAACAGTTGCCATCTGATAGCTGTTTTTTGCCGCTTAACTGCTATTCCACCTGTCACTAAAGAACCTCCAAGGTGCAGCTGGAGGGTGCAGCTCCTAGGTCTAACTCATGGCACTTTACAGAAAGTGTCATGAGTTAGACCAATCCACCTGACCAAACAGACATTAGTGTTGGGTTGGGAGGGTGGGAGAGTGAACTCTGTATTTTGCAGCTGATCCAGGGAATGGGGCTGCAGAGATGCGGCCTCTTCCCCTAACTCTGCCCACCCGCCCCCCTGGTCCCATGTTGATTCAAGATGGGAGGGGGAAAAGCCAGAGAAGAGGTGCTGTTCTGGGGTTTCTCCAACCCTGTTGGAGTCAGGAGGATGGATTGGAGTCCCTACCTGGGGGGGAGGGGCCTCCAATCCACCTGCCCCACCCTCCAGTATTGGCTGGGCACCCCCCAGAATGAGCTCCCTCTACTCCCTTCTGTTCCCATTCTGAAAGCAGCACCAGGAGCAGTGCTGGGCTGGCAGCAGAGCCCTGCTCCCAGTGAGTGCAGACAGAAGTTAATGAAGATGCTCTGCTCTGGAGCACAGTCATCTGAACCCTCCTGCAGTGAGGATTCAGATTTCCACGAGATCAGACCCTTTTAAAGCATCTGCAGCAGTTACTTGTGTTTTATACAGTGCTGTCAGGAGCCAGATTGGGTGAAAATTGTCACTTTTTTTTTTTTTTTTTGTCTGCGCCATCAAGATAGGCTAAGCCCTGAATTGCTGACCAGCTGAAGTTTCTATTCACAGCTAAAGTTCATCCTTTCAGGTGTGAGTTATACACAGCTGCTGCTCCTGATAGGAGTAGAGGATTTTGTTTTCCTCTCTGCTCAGGTGCCCAGTTGAACAGTTTGCTGCTCAGTCTGCTGTGCTGAAGAGCTCCTGTCATTTTGCAAGTTGAGTTCTTTTATGCTGCTTTCTGTTAGTGTTACTTATATGGTAAAATACCTTGAGTCTGTTCTGACTTCACAGACAGTCTGATACACAGTGTATCTAAATGGTGGGATATGCAGGAAAAATATAAACCTGCCATTACTTTTTACAAGAAAATCCTTTGCTACATCACAGGCCAGGTGGAAAGTGCTTTGCTTTAGACCAGTCACAAGTGAAATCTTGATCCACCTTGCCTTCACAATTATCAGAAGTAATTGCTCTAGACAGCCAGAACCCAGGGAGATACCATGATCGACCAGGTGGCTTTCCCAGGGTGAAACCTGTCCATTGCAAATGGGGCAGGCCGACCCCTGCAAGTTCACAAATGTGAGCAACTTGACTGTATAATTTTGTGATAATGAGGGACTGTGTGTGCTCTTGTTCCCCTGGCTTGCTTCTTTAGCCTTTCTGATAGGAGCAAGCGTGACTAGGGGGCATCTGAACGTCAGTGCCTCTGAGCTTGGGGCCTGCATGCAGGATGCCAGCCATGCATTTGTGGAATATCTGGAGCCCAGAATGATGGGTCTGGGAGGAAGGAAACTTGTCCAGTGGTAGAGCCACACAGACTTGAACAATTGAGCTTGATTAAAATTGGAAGCACATTCACCACCTTGGCTGGGCTCCCTCCCTCCCTGACCGTGTGTATCTCAACTTGCCCCCTTTCTCTCTTCTCCCCTGCCCCCGATTTACCTGTCTATGAGAGATGACTGTGATCAATCAAAAGTATGTGAATACCACATTTGCAATTCAGAGGGGTCTGCACCTCCATTTGAAATTTCTAAAGGGGTCCACATCTCCAGCTGAAATTTTTAGGGTTCTACAAGTGGGGAAAAAGGTCAGAAACCATTGCTCTAGAGTGTCTGCCTGTGGATCTCTGACAAGGGGAAAGAGAGGGACAGAGGTTGGGTGATTCCTTAATAATCAGATACTGGGGTTTTCTCTGCTGTGGGTTAGAGTAAGGTGATGCAGGAGCTATATAGGATGTTGCTTCTTGGCACTTCCTGAGATGGAAGGACCTATGGATACAGAATCTTTCTGAAGCACGCAAAGATGCTGGATGCTAGAAGCCAGCCAGGTGCTCTCAGATGTGCACGTGTAAAGTGAATACACACATTTGCACGGTCTGTCTGAGCTGTATTGCCTTATCCTGGCACCCTGCGCAAGTAGGGGGGACAGCCTTCTGGATGAGGTATTGGTCTCAAAAGTACAGTCAGGTACATAATATTGCTTCACCTCTTTAGCAAAACTATACTGCATTTAAAAAAAAAAAAAAGCATGATGGCGCGAATAGGGATGCTTTGGAGAAATGCAAGCTGGAGCAGGGAGATGTGCCAAGGGAAGGCAGGTCTGGAGAACATCTGAATAGGACATGTGAGCTTTTACAGAAGCCTTTCTGGATCACTAACTCATTAGTAGCATGTGTCTGCTGGAGAACCAGGGCTGAGGAGCAATCTCACAGGCCAGGTTGTATTTTATTTTTTATGGCCTTTTAGTGAATTTTCAAGGCTGAGGTTATAAACCCATGAAAATGAGATTTATAATGGGAATGCAAACGCATCTTTTAACTATAATGCTGCTGGATGTTACTATAGCACAGTATAGTCAACTTTTAAATCTGCTTTACATATAGTAATTTTGCAATGCAATATGCTTTCCTTCTTATTGCTTTCATCAGCTCCTTTTTGGGATTATTTTTTTGTTCTGTGCCAACCACAGGCAAGCAGGGGTGTTGGTTAACCCACAGGAGCATAAGGCCATATACTGCTTTGGTCCTCTCTGCATGGGTGCTGTATTTGGCCTTGACAAGCAATACAGCTACCTGTCTAGTTAGACATTCATGGTGCCACAGCTTGCTGTCTTTGCTCTGTACCTATATTTTGCAGGGAGGTTCAGGGGCAGCTTCTCTTCCTGTTGCAGGGGGTTGTGGGAAGTGGCTCCACACGGTGTAAGGTCCTAGATTTTAGAGGATCAGAACGAGTAAAGAGAAAACTATTATAGCTATTAATCTGAGATGAGGAAACTACAGAGAGAGGAGAGCTGTTTGCCGTTGGTTTTATAAGGACTGTACACTCCTAGCTTTACAAGTTGGAGTGACCCTTTACATTAGATGAATAGATACTAATGGCTCTCTCTAAAAATTGAGCTGTAGGTGGCAGGGTAAGTTCTGAATTGTTTTTAAATCGGGGAAGGGAAGGCTTGGAGTAGAGGGTCTGTGTAGGTTGGTCCCTTGGGAGCAGCAACCTGTTTGGACCTGGGAGGGAGGAACACGGGTAGGAGGAGGGAAGAGGTGGAGGAGGCACCAGGCAGTCGGCCAGCCTGCGCGTCCTGGCTAGAGAGTTAAGTGCAGGTTCGGCCAACGGCAGTGCTGTGCTTTTAGAAATATGGAGCCCTTTTTCACGTTGCTCTGAATGTGGTTTACAAAACAGGCTTAGTAGTGGGCTTTGTTCTGCTGTATCTGATGCCAGAGCTGGGGTTATGGCTGATCACTGGATGAAACTGCAAGCGGGCAGATTATGAGCAGGATGCTAAACATGGATAGATTCAGGCACAGGAGTGAATCACTTTGCTCCTCGCTGAATGCAGCCACCTGTAGGGTAGAGGACAGCTGCCAGACGGTTCCTCAAATACAGCAGGCTAGGACAGCACAACTTTTCCCCTCTTCTGCATAAAGGCTCTAAGGTCAAGCCTTGTTCCTATAGGAAGTACCACAGGATCCTGAGCGTCCATACTAGGCATGCCAGGCCTCGGTTTTTAAGAGCTTCTTCAAATGACATATGAGGCAGGCAGCTCAGTTCAGTTACCTTGGGAATGACTGCCCTCACTGACCCCGCTGGGATTCAGCCATGTGATGGTAGGGGAAGGGAGGGTCTCCCCTCCTGTGCCCCAGTCTGTCCACGTTTAGCATAATGCTCGTAATCTGCCTGCTTGCAATTTCCCGAGCATGAAGTGCTCCAGAAGGCTCTGGCGTGAATCGCTTTGCTCCTCACTGAATGCAGCCGCCTGTAGGGTAGAGGACTGCTGCCGGACAGGTTACTCAAATACAACAGGCTAGAATAGCCTTCTGGAGCACTTTGTGCTCGTGTAGAAAGGTGCAGCAGGACGTGACGTCAGAATCTTCTCTTTTTTTTTCCTCCATTCTGTTTGTGGTAATCCTACAGAAAACTTTGCGCCATTTTTGTGCAGATCAAGACACATGTCACCCCTTGCAGCTTTTGCCTAAGGGTAAGGAGTCCACGTGTAGAGTGGAGGTGTTAAGAGGAATAGAATTAGGTGCAATGCCATGAAGAAAATGCATGCTTCTTTCCCCCATTTTTACTAGGAAAACTGCTGTTCTGACAGTATATTTGTATAGCTCCATTAACATCTAAAGGATCCTGCTGCTGCAGCTATTGAGCGACCCTAAAAATAATTACACGTTATACATATAAAAATCTATTGCTGTTCAGCTGCAGAGCAAATGATTTTTATGACTGCTGTTACTTTTAACTCTTGAGTAACTTTTTTAAAAGTGGCCTAAACATTGCACAGTAGATTTTGCTCTTGCCAAGAAGGGCCTGAGTTCATTTGGGGTGTAACAATCATAGAAATTAAGGGCTGGAAGGGACCTTGAAAGTTCGAGTCCAGCCCCCCTGCTCTGTGCAGGAATACTGCTGACATCAAATGATCCCAGCGAGGTGTTTGTCCAGTCTCTTCTTGAAGACTTCCATGGTTGGGGACTGCACCACCTCCTCGGGAAGTCTATTCCAGACTCTGGTCACCCTTACCATAAAGAAGCTCTTCCTTGCATCCAACCTGAAACCATCCTCCAACAGTTTTTTATGGCCATTGCTGTTTGTCCTCCCCTGGGGCACCCCAGCGAACAGTTTTTTGTTTTGTTTTTTTTTTTTTATCTCGGCTCCTGATATTCACCCCTTACATACTTATAGATGGCCACCAAGTCCCCCCTCAGTCTTCTCTTCCACAGGCCGCACAGTCCCAGATCCCTTTAGTCTTTCCTTGTCAGGTTTGTCCTCCTGGCCCTTAGTCATGCTTGTGGCCCTTCTCTGGACCCTTTCGGGATTCTCTACATCTTTTCCGAAGTGCGGTGCCCAGAACTGGACACAGACTGGGGTCTCGCCAGTGCAGAGTAGAGAGGAAGTATCACTTCTTTAGCTCTGCTCGCGGCGCATCAGCTAATGTATCCCAGTATGCTAACAGCTCTGACTACACTGTTGCACTGGTGCCTCATGTTCATCCTGTGATCAACTATAACCCTGCGGTCTCTTTCAGCCATCGTGCTGGCCAGGACATCTCCTAACCCAGGGGTAGGCAACGTTTTTTGGCCGGAGTGCCGAAAAAACCATAACGTCTACCTTGGAACGTGCCGAGTGCCGGCATGCCAGAAAAACAAATTTGGAGGGGGGTGTTACATGGCAGGATGCGCTGCGTACTAGTATACTTAATAATCATAAATGTTGCCTTTGTGTAAGTTTTTTGTTAAGCATGTTGCAGTGAGAGAGAGAAAAGAGAAATAAGAGAAAGAGGAGAGGGGGGAAAGAGAGAGAGAAGGAGAGCAGAAGGAAGCACACATGCACGCAGAAACGCGGAGAACCAGAACAGATGCATGCACGCACACATCCAGAACCAGACGTGTGTGCACACAGACGCACAGAACCAGATGCATGGGTGCAGAGAGCCGGGCTGCTGGGCCACCGGACAGAGTCTGACCCAACAATGCCCTGGGCCTGCCAGAGCCCCTGTGCTTCCCTGGGGCTGCAGCGTGGCCAGCCAAGATCCCGGCCCAGAGCCTGCCTATCAGCCCAACCACGCACCCACTCCACACAGCTAAGCCAGCACAAGCGCAGCATACCTGGCAAGGGGCAGCACCAGCCTCATCCCAGTAGGTGGGGCTGGGCCAGTGCTGGGCTTGCAGTGGGTGGGAATTTGGACGGGCTCAGCTGCAAGCCCTGCTGCAAGCAGCCCAGGCTCCGTAGTTGGCAGAGCTGGGGCTGACTGCAGCCGGGAGCCTGCAAACAGCTGCATGTGTGCCTCAGAGCAGATGGTTGGGAGGGGGCCTGAGGCAGCACAACCTTGGCTTCTCCCCTGCTGATGACCAGTGATCCTAGTTTTCTCTGATTTTAAAAAATTGCAAATTCTCTGATTTAAAAAATCCATGGTTAAAATTAAATGTCCCCCAGCCCTGCTGGAGGGGGTCCCCAGCTGCCAGGGCAATGGGGCCAGGACCCAGGTCCGCAGCCCCCTGCCCCCAATGGAAGGAAGCGGCTGCTACAGCAGGAGCATGAGCCGGCTCCCTCCCCGCACTGCTGCCTCCTGCAAGCTTGGGCAGGGACAGCTCCCAGTGGCAGGGTGCACTGGAAAGCCTGCGCCTCCCAGATCTGTGTGGGGGG